TCCAGAGGACTGGCATCACACTGTCAAAAAGAAAATGTCAAGATCTATCCTGAAATACACAATGCTGACAGTGATAGGAAAATGTCCATAAGCCTACAAGGAAGACCAGTTACAACTACCACTATGCAGGTTTATGTGCCAACTACCAAAACCAAAGGTGAGTAAATTGAAGATATTTACCAACTTCTGCAGTCAGAAATTGACCAAACATGCAACCAAGATGCATTGATAATTACTGGTGATTGGTTCATAGTGCCTAAGGCATTTGACTGCTAACCAGCAGGCTGACAGTTCAAACCCACCAGCCACTCCTCAGAAGGAAGGTTGGGCAATCTACTTCCATAGTGGAATGGCCAGACTTTGTCCCACCTACTTTGGTCATGTTGGCAGAAGGCACCAGTCCCTGTAGAAAGATATCATGGTTGGTAAAGCAGAGGGTGAGTGCAAAAGGAGAAGACCCTCAACAAGATGGACTGGCACAATGGCCACAAAGAAGGGCTCAAGCACAGCAAGGATTGTGAGGATGTCACAGGACCAGGCAGTGTTTTGTTCTGTGGTACGCAGGGTCGCTATGAGTTGGAGTTGATTTGATGGCACCTAACACCACCACCACATTGTAAGTGGACTTGAAGCACTTAACTGATGAAGAACAAAGACTACAGTGTCCAGGATGGATTACACTTGAACATAAAGAAAACAAAAATCTTCACAACCAGACCAATAAGCAACATCATAATTAACAAAATTTGAAGTTGTCAAGGATTTCCTTTTACTTAGATCCATAGTCAACACCCAAGGAAGCAGTAGCCAAGAAACTGAATCACGTGTTGCATCAGGCAAAAGGCCTCTGTAAAGTGTCAAAAAGGAAACATGTTACTTTGAGGACAGACTAAGATGTGCTTGACTCAAGCCATGGTATTTTCACCCACCTTGTAAGTGTATGAAAGCTGGTCAACCAGAAGGAAGACTGAAGAATTGATGCCTTTGAATTATGGTATTGACAAAGAATACCGAAGGTACCATGGACAACCAGAAGGAGGAAGCAATCTGTCTTGGAAGAAGTACATTCTGGCTAGAATGCTCCTTGAAAGCAAGGATGGGAAGACTCCTGTAATCTCCTTTGGACATGGTATCAGGAAGGACCAGTCCCTGGAGAAGGACATCATGCTCGCAAGAGTGGAGGATCAGTGAAAACAGCAAGGCCCTCATTAGATGGATTAGCACAGTGGGCCGACAAGTGCACGATAAGGACAGCAACTGCCACAGGAGTTCAGAGGGAGGAGATGAGACACCAGAGGGGAGCTTCTCAATGGAGGCAGACTCTCACTTGGGCCTGAAGGATAAGCAAAAGGAAGGATAAGCAAAAGAAAGGATGGGCTGACTGCAAGGCTGACCGCCATCCGCACGCCTCCTCCAGGCCTGATGGTGAGGGAAACTTCATTCTGAACAGGGAAAACAGCTAAACACATGTGTCCAAAAAGTCAAGACACATTAAAAAACGAAGAAGGCAGATCACGTTGGAGGGTCTGTGCTCAGAAATAAGAGGTGACATTAGAGGCAGAGTATGGGAAAATCTGTGAAGGCATCAGATGTGGCCTGAAGAGGCTTGACCTTCATCCTGCAAGCCAAGGAGACCCACTGAAGAGCCCATGACAAAAGGAAGAGTAAAAAGAAAATTCACTTAGCAAACAGGATGAAGGGAGAGAAGGCAAGCAGAGGAGGACAAGGCCAATCCATTCAACCAACAAATCGACTAGCATTGTAGGACCTGGGGATGCAGCCGTGAACCAGTCAGAAACGGTGCTTAGCTACAGCAGGGGGAAGCGACGTTGCAAGCACCCACATCACAAGCCTGATGTGGGAGGCTGCAGAGAGCAATGCCCTGAGGCACAGAAGGGATCTTGCAAAGGGAGAACTCACAGAACCAGGTGACTGGCTGCGAGAAGCCACGAGGCACAATCATACCAAAGATGACTCCTAATTCAAGACTGGCCGGTGGCTAACGGTAGATGTGTTGATTTCTTCAACACATCAGGGGATGGTCTTCAAGCCATAATCCCAATGTCACCTATTCTAGATCATCCGTTAAAAGAAAACAGTGTCTAGCTTCAATGCTAACCTATATAAAGTGCTGGCCCAGAGCAGAAGAGGTCAGGAGTAACACAGTCTAACCCTGCCACCTAGTGTCAAGTTTAGGCTGCGCCACCACTCCACACCAGCAAGGTGTCTCACTAGCTCAGAGGTTTAGGTCTCAGGCACCGCTGTGGGCTCTGCAAGGCTGGCTACCATCCGCGCATGCCTTCTCCAGGCCTGATGGCGAGGCCGGCCGCCATCCACACGTGGCTTCTCCAGGCCTGATGGCACTCACACCTCCGGGAAAGCATGCAGCACACCGGACACTTCCAGCAGGAGCCCGTCCATGTGGCTGGACTTCTGCTAGGTGAGGCCATCTTCACAGCCACCCAGCAAAGCAGGCAGGCAAAGAGGCAATCTGAGGGTATCTAGAACAGGCCCTCAAGGCCCCAAGCATAGCCAGTGGGACAAAAGAGATGGGGGGAAAGAAATGATGTATTTCTTTCTCCATAGTAATATCATAATTTGTTTTTTTAGGTAGGAACTGCCAAAAAGTGTAACACTTGACTCGATTAAAGAAGTCACATTTTTAAGCAGGCAGGCCAAGAATTACTGTGTTGTAGTAACTATCTTAATTTTTTTTTTTTTTTTTCAAAGTACAGAGAATTGTTCCTCAAAGTTCAGGCGTATCATTTAGGTAACAGTAAGTCCTCATATATACCCAGCCTTCAGCACCCTTGTCACAATGCCACTGCCCTTGTGGGGACAGACAGTCCTGGGTCTTCACAGCAGACTACTACAAATGCTGAAGAACGATGACAACTCTGCATACCATCTTACAGTGGGGACGGCCCTGGAGGCCACCAAGCTGGGTGAAGTTCGTCAGTCACCAGAGGACGATCACCGTATGAGACCACCACAAAGTCAAAAGGGTCACACAAAGAGAAACATTCTGTGATGGTTACAAGGTGTGGGGAGAGGAAGGAGGGTAATCCACTAACTACAGGGCAGACACACTAACTTGGAGGAAAGGAAAGGTTTAAAAAAAAAAAAAAAAGTGTGGAAAAACGTCAAATATATACAAAGATTAAGAAACACGCTCACATCTTTGATAGAGAGGGAGAACGATGTGGAACAAAACTCAAAATCATTTGGAGAAAAAAAAAAAAGGTGGTGACCAGATTTGCTGGTCCGATAGAGCCTGGTAGAACCACTGAGCCTATGGCCCCTAGCTGCCCCTTCGGGTCTGGAATTGAACCCACACCTGTGGTTTCCAGCCAAACAAAATACAGGCATATGAGTTGAACATTTAACTCAAGTAGATACACTCCTTGGAGAGAACAATCATGGGACAAAGAAGGGCTGCTTATGCACAGGGAGATAGCTTAGGGGGCAGGAGTGTATGGAGGGATGGACACTGGGAAGAGGTAACTATGGGGAGGAAGTGGGAGGGGAGCTGTTGCATTGTGGTAAACTGTGATCAATGACATGAGACAAAGCACATGTGAACTGCTGTGTGGAAAGTGAATTTGCTCTGTAAATCTTCACCCAAATCACAATAAAAGGAAAAAAAAAAAAAAAAAAACGAAACACGCTTGCATCTCTCGCACGGCATCTCACAGCAACACGGTCACTGCGAGCAGCAGAGGGGCCGCCAGGAAAATGGGTTAGAATTCAAGTGAAGGATAAACAGGAATGACCGACTTGTTGATAATTCCTGTCGCATCCATGCATTTATTCAAGCCAACACAGCTTCTGCAGGCCTGCTAGGTGCCGGGTACGTGTGGGAGCTGGAGACAGGGCGTTAAGCCAGGAGGCGTCATCCCCACCTCTCACCGAGTTCATACACCAGTGAACCAGCTACCATTGCTCTGACCCTGACTCATGGCACCCCCCATGTATCAGAACACTGCTGTGCTGCATGGGGGCTGATTTCATGCAAGTACATCTCCAGGCCTTCCTTCCAAGGCACCTCTGGGTAGACTCCAACCACCAGCCTTCTGGCAAGCAGCTGAGCGCTTCACCATGTGCACCACAACTCCTCAACACCAGTAGGAAGGCAGAAAGTGACAAGCAGACACGGACAATGATTCCAAGCTGAGCATATGCAGCATACAGATCAAGGTCATGGGACAGAGGATGCCCCTGGGGGAAGGACAGGTACTTCAGATGGCCCCTGAGGTGGCAATATCTGATCCAGTGACATGTCAACACTGTGAAGGAGCCAGCCAAAGACAGAGGGAAACGCATTCTACCAAAATCAACAAGACAGATCCTGACACGGAACTAGCTTGGCTGGTCAAGGTCAAGACAGAGACAGCCAGTTTGCTTGGGCAGAGTTGACTAAAGGACAATGGAATGACATGAGGTCAGGAATTGCCACATGTCAAACATGCAGGCCTCCATCCATATCTGGAACAAAACAGCCTGAACATCTGCTTTATCAAGTCATCTTTTGATCCCGTCTCTACCTGTTGGATTTTCAAAATATACCATTTGAAAATTTCAGAAATCAAAGCGTCTCTCAAAGGTATAAACAAACTCACTGCCATCAAGTTAATTCTGATTCATAGCAAACCCCTTTAGGTTTCCGAGGTGGTAAATCTTTTACCAAGTAGATTGCCCAGTCTCCCTTCCATGCAGTGGCTGGTGGGTTTGAACCCCCAGTCTGCTGGTCAGCGGTCAAATGTCTCAGGCACTGTGCCACCAGAGCTCCTTTCTCAAAGCTGTCAGGACTTTGATTTGAACTTAATGCTAATGCATATTTTCCAAAAGTTACCATTCATAAAGGGCATGAATGCAAACAACGCAGACTCATTCTTTCCTTTAACTTCCAGCAAGGAGTGGTTTCTCAGGGAACAACCGAGATCATTCTCACTAACCAGGAAATTTAAGCAAAATGTGAGGCAACTCGACATTGCACCTACGTATAAATGATACCGTAAGTGTGCATTTTGGGGTCTTCCTCTTCAATGGAAAACCTGAACCACTGCTCCTGAGGGCCTTGGCGCTTCATTTTCTTCTCCAGATCCCAGTACAGTTCAATGCTGTGATGAGTCACCTTGCCCACAACAGGTGGAGGCGGCCTCGAGGGTGGCGTGATTTCTACAAAAGAACAATACAGTGTGTCAGGCACCGTTTCCATGAAGAAGAGGGGCTGTCTGCGTGCATTATGGCTGCTCAGCGAGCCACGGCTTCCCCGTACATCAGGGATACACAGGGTCCACCTTCCTGATGCCTGCAAAGCTGAAAGGAAGCAGAATTCCACTGGTACAGGAGCTGGCATGTTCTTCCACAAGCAGACGGGACCCCACCTATCAACACCGTGCTTCACGGACAGGCCCTCCTAGGGTCGGTCAACACGTCAGACTAGTCAGGCTGCTCTTTGAGCAGGTGAGCAGCAGTGTGCTGCTACCATCTTCCAGAAAATCAGCTGGTACAGATGCTAGCAACAAAACCAAGAGAGAGATGCTGCACCGGTTCCAGGGATCTGTAACCTACGTGACAAAGGGTTGGTATCAATTCCATATAAGCAGCTCCTACAAAGTGACAAGCAAAAGCCAGAAGGCTAATAACAAACCAGGCAAAGGTGAGTGACACACAAAACAGCAGACCCCATGGTCAACACAACCCTCAAGTGGTCACACAAATCCACTTAACTCCATATCCAGTCCGAGAACAAAGCAGGGAGTAGATACCCTCAGCGTGTCTGTGGTGGAGAAACCGGAGTGACGGTCTTTCGAGGAAGCAACAGGGCAGCATCTAAGTACAAATGGTCAGACTTTGTCTCTCATACTTCGGTCACGCTGTCAGAACGGTGCCCGGAGAAGGACATCATGCTTGGTAAAGCAGAGGCTCGGCAAAAAAGAGGAAGACCTCAACGAGACGGACTGACGCTGTGGCTGCAACAACCGGCTCCAGCCTAGCGATGGCGTGAGGGTGGCACAGGGCCGGGCGGTGCTTCTGTCTGTTCTAATTGGGTTTGCTGTGCGTCAAAGCCGACTCAATGGCACCTAACGCTGAGATCAAAAATACAAACGGTCAATCAGCAGGAAAATGACGAGAACGCTCACGCACTGTGAAGAACGAAACCAACGTCTCTCAACAATTTGTATAGAAACTGTTGAACGGGAACCCAAACCGTTGTAAGCCTTCACCGGAAACATGGTAGAATAATATTTTTAAACCAACATCACTCAACAACTTATGTAGCAATTGCTGAAGGGGAACCTAAACTGTTGTAAGCCTTTACTGAAAGCACAGTAAAATAATATTTTTAAAAGTTAGAAATATATATGCCCTTCTTTCCGGCCATCTTACTCCTGGGAATCTCTCCTGTAGAAATCAGAGCCCCATACACACAGGGACACACACACAAGGACATCGGCTGCTACCATTTTCATCGTAAGGGAATGGCCAAATAAACCATGACACATCCATACATGGAGTATTATGCAGCATTTTTTAAGATGAATTAATTCTATTCTAGGTGTTTTGAAAGGATTCCCATAAGGTGTTGAGTGAGAAATCAAGATCCACAAAAAATACATAATATCCCATCGTGTGTGTTGGTGGGAGGGAGAGCCCTGAAAAACGTTGGGGGGTGAAGGGGAGGGTACGTTGGAACCGAGTAGTTTAGCATGCAGTTGTTCTGTTTCAAGTTAGTTTTGCGTCCTCTGCCAGATTGTGAGTTCTCTGTGGGCTGGGACCATGAGAATGCCTTTCGAACCTCTAAGTCACTGAGGTACCACTTTGGTTTTTCAGGAAGAGGTCTCGTGCTTCCCAAGAACCAAAGTCCCCACATCCCAGCAGCTGACCCACCGCTCTCGGCAGATCCCAGGCCCACCTGCAGTGAAGCCCCCGTGGAGAAAAGCAGAGCGGCCTTGGTCTTGCCAAGCCACCCTAGAGAGTAGGAGCAGGGAGAACCCAACCCCCAATTTCTTTACTTTGAGGTCATAGAGATACACTGGGTGGCAGCCTCAAAGCTACTTTTCCTAATATTTAAAGAAAATGTGGCCGCTAGAATTAGACAAATTTGAATTTGAATTCAAACTTCAAGACTGAGTCAAAAATTCTTCAAACGGTTCATACCCACCAGCCACTCCTCGGAAGGAAGGTTGGGCAATCCTACTTCCGTAGTGATAACTGCCTCGGAAACCCAAGGAGGGGTCGCTATGAGTCGGGGCCGACTCGACGGCACATAACAACAACAACAACAACAACAACAGACACACGCCCTGGAGAGAATAATCGTGGGAGAAGGAAGGGCTGCTTATGCACAGGGAGATAGCTCAGGGTGCAGAAGAGTATGAAGGGATGGACACTGAGAGGAGGTAACTATGGGCAGGAAGTGGGAGGGGAGCTGCTGCATTGTAAATTTTGGTCAATGACATGAGACAAAGTATATGTGAACTGCTGTATGAAAAGTGAATTTACTCTGTAAATCTTCACCCAAATCCTAATTTAAAAAAAAAAAATTCTTCAAAGTGTTTTTGTGATTTAAAGCACACAAATAATGTACCTAAATAAATCATGGTATATTTTACACTGTGGAATCCCATATAGCAGCTAAAATAAACTGTATCTATAGGCATAGACATAGATAAATCTCAAAAATGTGTCAACACCACAGAGCACAAATGGATGTAACGCATTATTATACCACTGGCATACATTTTAGCACAAACCACACAACATTATCCAACATTCATACACACAGAGATGCAGCATGATGGGAGAGGACACATCACAAGAATGATGTTCCCTCAACAGAGTCAGGGACGAGGCTGAGGACAACGGGGCGGGAACAGTGCCTTATCAGATACTCACGGGGCTTCATTTTCAAAAAGGCGCTCTGGTGGCATAGCAGTTAAAGCACTGGGCTTCTAACTCAAAGCTCAGTGATTTGAACTTTCCAGCCACTCCACGGGAAGACGAGGAGGCAGTCTGCACCCATAACAGTTTACAGCCTTGCAAACTATGGGGCAGTTCTACCCAACCCTTAAGGAGTTGCTGGGTCAGAATCAATTTGATGACAGTGGGTTTGGGTTTTGGCCATTTTCAAAGACAGAGGGAGAAAGCAAGAGCATGAAGAGAGACAGATAGGAGGAAAAGGACAGTATGGAAGACGTATGGGCAAATGTTAACATGCCAAGCCTACATGGTGCATCTGGGTGCACCATTTACCTGCAGTGATTCTGTTATACTTGAAACATTCTTCTTTAAAGTAATAATAAAAATAAACACTAGCACTGCTCTTAACATGCCACAGACTGCCAGAAAACGGACACGTCTGTCTTGGGAGACATACAGGCAAAACAACCTTGGTAAGACTTCATCTCAAGTCCTCTGGACATGTTCTCAGGAGGGACCAGTCTCTGGAGGAGGTCATCATGCTTGGTAAAGCAGAGGGTCAGCGACAAAGAGGAAGACCATGAATGAGACGGACTGACGCCGTGGCCGTGGTGATGGGCTCAGACACAGCAGCGACTGTGAGGCTGGCACACACTGGCTCGCATTTCCTTCTGTTGTACACAGGGTCACTGCGAGTCAGAGGTGACTCAGTGGCAGCTAGTAGCTCTTACAGGGTCATGGTATTCTCAGAGAAGTCTAATGTCCTAAATACCAATTAACCCATGTGGAAGGGGAGCAGTGAGCACCTACTATGTGCCAGACACAGGCCCTGCAGCTGAGTCAGCAAATCTGGCCCGTGGATGGAATGATGACTCAACCTCACACAGCGACACCATTTCTGGTGCTGAACAATCCCCCTCTCCCCCCGCTGCCAAAAACCCTTTAAAGCCGTTCAAAGACCAGGACTAGTGGACTGCTACAGATCACTCCTCACATCACCAAGAGCCAGGCAGGACTTCTGCTCCAAAGATACCTGGCTGAGAATCACACCAGAAATGAGGGCAGACAGCCTAAGTTCATGTCTAATTTCAGAGGAGACAAAAATGTTCATCGTAGATTTACACGGGGAATGAGAAGCTAGCACTCCCAGGTGTATACAAGAATTTCTCATGCCTTGCTCTTTACTAAGCATCCCTGGTAGCACAATGGTTAAGCACTCAACTTTTAACCAAAAGGTCGGCAGTTTGAACACACCAAAGGACTAATGAACCACACGAATCTCAGCCTCCACTACCTGAGACCAAAGGAACTAGATGGTGCCCAGCTACTACTACCAACCAACTCTGATTGAGATCACAATAGGACCTGGATAGATTTGGAGAAAAATGTGGAACAAAACTCAAAATTGTAAAAAAAAAAAAAAAAAGACTTACTCATCTGATAGAGACTGGTGGAACCCTTAAGACTATGGTCCTCAGCCACCCTTCAAACCTGGAGCTGAACTCACCCCCATGAATCAACTTTCAGCCCAACAACAGGCCTATAAGGTGAACAATAACACACCTTAGAACCACTAACCATGTGGGATCAAGGGGACAGCATTCTCCCAAAAACACAGCTCAGAAGGCAGGACAAGGGGCAGGAAAGACAGACAAATGGAAACAGCACAGAGAGGAAGTAGGAAAAGTGCTTTACATTGTGGGGATTGCAATCAACGTCACAAAACGAGTATAAATTATTGAATGGAAAATCAATTTGCTCTGTAAACTCTCACCAAACCACAAGAAGTTGAAAGAAAAAGGTGTCCCAAGAAATTACAGAGAAGAGCAACACCACAGCTATGCGGATCTACCTCCAAAGGCCGATGGTATGACATTATGCACATGCCATGCACCATCAACACTTTCTGCAAGCAAGTTCTATGCAAATCTGACCAAATGTTTGTTGTATGCCCTTACTGCCACTTGTGAAGTAGAAAATCGTATGAACAGGAAGTAATGGGGAGCTCCACACACTGTCACCATTCAGTCTATGTGGTTACTCAGAAACCTGGACTCAAAAGCTAGCCCTTCCAAACATAGATACAAACACGAAATACTATGAAGGCAAGGAAACCACTAGGCACTATCGGGCCTTGGCATCTCAGAGTTCTTTCTAGATGTATTTTCACAGTACAATACAATACAACCCCCTAAGAGGAAAGTCAAAATAAGGGAAGCAAGGCTCACTCAGTATCTAGTGATAAAGCTGTTAACCGTTATTTAAAAGCTATAGATGCAACTGATAAGCTACAGAGAGAA